CAATGCATTATAAATAATAAGTGACTGATGCAATGTATTATAAATAACTAATAAGAAACTGATGCAATGTATTATAAATAACTAATAAGTGACTGGTGCAATGTATTATAAATAACTAATAAGTAACTGATGCAATGTATTATAAATAACTAATAAGTAACTGATGCAATGCATTATAAATAATAAGTGACTGATGCAATGTATTATAAATAAGTAATAAGTGACTGATGCAATGTATTATAAACAACTAATAAGTAACTGATGCAATGCATTATAAATAACTAATAAGTAACTGATGCAATGCATTATAAATAATAAGTGACTGATGCAATGCATTATAAATAACTAATAAGTGACTGATGCAATGTATTATAAATAAATAATAAGTAACTGATGCAATGTATTATAAACTAATAAGTAACTGATGCAATGTATTATAAATAACTAATAAGTGACTTGCAATGTATTATAAATAATAATAATCTGATGCAATGTATTATAAATAATAAGTAACTGATGCAATGTATTATAAATAACTAATAAGTAACTGATGCAATGTATTATAAATAACTAATAAGTAACTGATGCAATGTATTATAAATAACTAATAAGTGACTGATGCAATGTATTATAAATAAGTAATAAGTACTGATGCAATGTATTATAAATAACTAATAAGTAACTGATGCAATGTATTATAAATAACTAATAAGTAACTGATGCAATGTATTATAAATAACTAATAAGTAACTGATGCAATGTATTATAAATAACTAATAAGTAACTGATGCAATGTATTATAAATAACTAATAAGTAACTGATGCAATGTATTATAAATAACTAATAAGTAACTGATGCAATGTATTATAAATAACTAATAAGTAACTGATGCAATGCATTATAAATAACTAATAATGACTGATGCAATGTATTATAAATAACTAATAAGTAACTGATGCAATGTATTATAAATAACTAATAAGTAACTGAAGCAATGCTATTATAAATAATAAGTGACTGATGCAATGTATTATAAATAACTAATAAGTAACTGATGCAATGCATTATAAATAA